AGTAAAGTAATGCATTACTTTTTAATTTACAAGAGAATATCCAAGTTACTTTTTGAAATGAGTAACGCAAGTTACTTTTTTTTTTTTCAATTTATTGATTGACAGCTCTCCTGTCCCCATGTTGAGAGAAATCAGAAGATGTTACTGTAGTTCTAAAATAAATATGAATATGTATTAATTCATCTCACAAAAAAAAAAAACACACAGATTCAGTAGTGTAGTATTTTCTCATGGGACACTCCTAAAAATATAGCTTCTTGTTCACAGCAATGCCATTAAATAATCCTTTTGGGTTCCCCAAGGAACCATCTCTTGTTCGTGTGAATGACCTTTTTTGTTCCACTATAAAGAACCTTGTGTGCAACGCAGAGGTTCCATAGGTGTTCAAGGTTCTTCATTATCCCATAAACGCCAGAAAATAACCTTTATTTTTAAGCGTGTATGTGGCCTATAAACGTTTGTGCTAATGTCTAGAGTAGAGAGAAGACACTGAATCTACTGGTTCAATGTACTTACTCAAAGGCAAAGAAGAGGCCACTGGTCACCAAAATGAGAACCATTGTTAGATAGAAGACCCCAGTCTGCTTTGCCATCATGAGCCTGCCATTGCAGTAAAACTTATTTCGGCCAGGAAAAACCTGCCATTTCCTTTTGATCTTCTTCTTCTTGGTGTGTGGAGTGTCCATGGGTGAGGAGTTATGTGTGCAGATCTGATTGTACTGGCACTCTCGGATGGGCTCCTCTACCCCGAGATGCATGTTGCCCGTCATCTACCCACCAGCAATGAAAGACAACTTTAAAGCAACACAAGTGAATCAGAATTCAAACGTCCAAACGAGACAGCTGGATCTTGAAGAAACATCTCTGATCTGATGCAGGAAGCATTGCACAACCCAGGAACCATTTTCTTATCTCCATGTTTTATTGAAATCTTCAATGTTTTAAATGCATTGCGTTAGAAACGCCAACACGTGCATCCGAAACGATGGGAAAGCAGTAAGATCCGCGTGTTTGGTTTACATGTTTGTTTGGATAACTCCCTCATTGCAGATGTCTATCCTCAACACAACAGCACACAGAGGCATGTGGACATCATGCCCAGAAATCTCGCTTAGTCTGCTGGCGTCTTAAAAAGCTTGCAACTCCGCCAATGCGGTTCAGAAGCGCTCCGATGAAACCAAATCCACTCAAAACATTTGGACTATAACGTTAAGAACGTCCTTCCGATGTCCTCGTTAATCCCGTTCAGTGGGAGGCTTCAGTGCGCTAGACATCTAGTTCTGACGCCGCGTGCACAATAATGCAACAGCAAACAAACAGAGGCGGGTGTTTAATCATCTGTATCGATGATGAAGATGAAGGAGAGAGAGAGGAAGGATCGCTGTGCGCAGGAGTGGATCCCCGCGTGAACTGCACGAGCTCTTCTTCTTCTTTAGGTTTTGACTGCATGAGCTCACAACACACGATGACCCTATAAACAGCGGCGCCGTCTCAAATCACAGCCAGCTGTCTATGTAGACCAGTGTTGCCAACTCATTCTCAAAATCCCGTTCAGTGGGAGGCTTCAGTGCGCTAGACATCTAGTTCTGACGCCGCGTGCACAATAATGCAACAGCAAACAAACAGAGGCGGGTGTTTAATCATCTGTATCGATGATGAAGATGAAGGAGAGAGAGGAAGGATCGCTGTGCGCAGGAGTGGATCCCCGCGTGAACTGCACGAGCTCTTCTTCTTCTTTAGGTTTTGACTGCATGAGCTCACAACACACGATGACCCTATAAACAGCGGCGCCGTCTCAAATCACAGCCAGCTGTCTATGTAGACCAGTGTTGCCAACTCATTCTCAGGGGAAGTTGCTAAAGGAGGGTTGAGTTGTTGCTAAAAGTTGCTAAATTACGTTGTGATGACATTGCGTGATGACGTCATTACGTAACCACTATGCAAAATTGTCAAATCTCAGCAAAAACACACATATATATATATATTATATATGTTAATTTAGAGTTGCTCGTAGCAATATAAATGCACAATATAATATTAAAATATAAAGAACTATTTTTAAATTCATTGAATTATCGAAAACGTACACATTTTTGAACGATTACAATTTAAGTTGTATACTTTAAAGCGGTTTATTAGTAGTTAGCTAGAATGCTGCACTCTAAGAAAAGTACAAAAAATCATGCACAGTCTACTGTGTTAATATGAAGGAATTTTCTGGATTTCTTTTTGTACCTGCATTTTTAATTACGCATTGTATTTTGTGTTTTCGGGGCACAAAACGGATAATGTCCTGGAAAGTTACTAGCACTTTTTCCATTTTTCTGCATATTTTTCTTACAGTGTACTAACTCATCAACATTCACAGGTACAAGCTACAAACAAAGTGTCTCATAAATGAAAAATAACAGTATTCAATTATTATTATTACTATTAAATTAAACAATTGCTAATAGCAGCTAACTTAGTTCCTGTAGCGTGTGTACTGCTAGGCATCTTTGGTTTCCTCTTTTTGTGTAGTTTCAATGGTAAATTGTGCCTTTTTATCGTTTGAGTCACTTATCAAAAGTTGCTAAAAGCTGCCAAATAAATTTCAAAACAAAGCTACATTTGTTGCTAGGTGCTTTTGGAAGAAAAAGTTGCTAAATCTAGCAACAGAATTGCTAAATTGGCAACACTGATGTAGACAGCATATTTGGGTGTGCTCAAAACAAAGTGCGTTACGGTTTAAAACGTAGTGATCTGTCAGTGAGCTGCAAAACTGGACCACGGTTTTTGGGAACCATATTTCAAAACCTATTTTTGAGCATGTCTCAAAAGAGTTAATTGCCAGCATGCACTCCTTTTAGGGGCATGCACTGTAAAAATAAATTCTGTAGTTTTTCCAAAATAATTTTGGCAGCTGTGGTTGCCAGAATAACTTCGTAAAAAATACAGGAAAAACAGTAAACACATTTACGGCCAAAAACTGTAAATTTTACAGTATGCAACTGTAATTTACAAACAAGAAAATCTGAATGTAAACCAGTAAATTCAACAATGCACACTGCTATTAAAATCTGTTTTGTACCTTTAACATACTGACAACCACCATAATAATGCAGGTGGTAAAAGAGAAAGCTACATGAAGAATCAAAGCTCATCACAAGTAGCTTTGCCACAAGCAGAAGTATATACTAATATATAGAAGGTGCACGAGTCATTCATGCAAACACAAAACACCATCATGGTAACACACATGATACTTAAATAATACATTCAACTTTCATTAAACAACAGAAGATGCAACATAAAGCCCAAATACACATAACTAATAACAAAAACTATTTAAAAAACATGATTATTTAAACAAAATACTTTCAAATGTGGAGTGTCATGCAGGGAATTCTGGGAATATCAGTTTACAGTTTTTGACTGTAAATTATACATTGATTTGTTATTTTTACTTCTAAAAACTGTCAAATTAACAGCATTTTACTGTAAAATTACATGAAATGTCTGGTTAGATATTTTACAGTTTTTCCCTGTATATAGTACGGGAACTTACTGTTAACCTATTAACAGTTTTTTTCCGTAGCGTTTTTACACAATTTTACAGTTAAAATTACACTTATTTTTACAGTGTGTCTTGCAAAGGTGGGTACACTTTTGACACAGACCAACTTTGTAAATGTGTCTCAAGACAGAGTGAACGAGTTGCCCGTGTAGACCGCATATTATCTGTGCTTATGTCGTAGCATCAATAAAAACACTAACAGATATCTCATAATGTTTTAAAATATTGTAATAATTAAATATAACATTTGAAACGACTGAATATACTGTAAATTATACATTGATTTGTTATTTTTACTTCTAAAAACTGTCAAATTAACAGCATTTTACTGTAAAATTACATGAAATGTCTGGTTAGGTATTTTACAGTTTTTCCCTGTATATCATACGGGAACTTACTGTTAACCTATTAACAGTTTTTTCCCGTAGCGTTTTGACCAAATTTTACAGTTAAAATTACACTTATTTTTACAGTGTGTCTTTCAAAAGTGGGTACACTTTTGACACAGACCAACTTTGTAAAAACAGCATTTTACTGTAAAATTACATGAAATGTCTGGTTAGGTATTTTACAGTTTTTCCCTGTATATCATACGGGAACTTACTGTTAACCTATTAACAGTTTTTTCCCGTAGCGTTTTGACCAAATTTTACAGTTAAAATTACACTTATTTTTACAGTGTGTCTTTCAAAAGTGGGTACACTTTTGACACAGACCAACTTTGTAAATGTGTCTCAAGACAGAGTGAACGAGTTGCCCGTGTAGACCGCATATTATCTGTGCTTATGTCGTAGCATCAATAAAAACACTAACAGATATCTCATAATGTTTTAAAATATTGTAATAATTAAATATAACATCTGAAACGACTGAATATTAAGAACTGACAGCTCTTCGTCTCTGTCTGGGATATGTTGTCTAGGTAGGCAGCTCACTCGATCTGATCAGTCCTCCCTCACCGACACATATCTGATTTCACTTTATTATGAGTTTGAAGATATTGTTTTATCATGGTGAAAAATAAAACACAGTACTGCGGATATCCGCACAACACAAACCCCGACAGTCTTATTGTTACTCTGCCATTATTTGGATTTGGTCTGATTTGATTCTTGTAATCACGTCGCAATTATAAATACACTTTAAGAGTATAACAGCAGACACGCTTATAATACCATTTATGCCCAGTTCTTTTTTTATTGAATCACTCAAATTCAACACTTTACAGCAGCCAGGGGGTGGACACTAAGAAAAAGAGATACAAAATTACGAAATAAAGAGAAAATAAAAATTAATTACATAGACACATGGAAATGTTTACATACATTAATACACTTAACAGCTTTCTTGTTTAACAAATTATAAATTGATTTGAGGTATTGTTTAACTTCTGATTTCAAAATGAGAAACAATGGTTTCCACTATTTCTCTCTGTATTATGAAGCGTTCCGCCTGACGTGTTTCCGCCGGATGTCTGTGTCAGTCGGACCCGTTCAAGATGTCAGTGGAGCAGGCGCGCGCGAGTGGGCCAGTCAGTGACACCGAAGACGACAAATCACACTTGATAAGAGGTTTGATGTGTTTTAATAGCATTTTCGACCATTGGTGCTTATGAATTAAGCTTTATGAATTGTCCGTCGATATTACTCATTTGGATAACTGACCTTATTCTGATTAATCATACATTAGAGCAGAAACCTAGACCTAAATGGTAAATGTCATGTAACAAAACCAGTCGTAAGGGCAATAATAATAAAAAAAAGAGTTTATTTTGAGTTTAAGCTGAATAAATAAGATTTCCATTGATGTATGGTTTTTAGGATAGGACAATATTAGATATTTTAATATCTGGAATCTGAGGGTGTAAGAAGAAAAAAAAATCAAAATATTGAGAAAATCGCCTTTAAACTAAAGTCGTCCAAATGAAGTCTTTAGCAATGCATATTACTAATCAGAAATTAAGTTTATATATATTTACGTTAGGAAGTTTACTAAATATCTTCATGGAACATGATCTTTGCTTAATATCCTAATGGTTTTTGGCATAAAAGAAAAATGGATCATTTCGGCCCATACGATGTATTGTTGGTTATTGCTACAAATATACCTGCGCGCAGGGCCGTTTTAACCATAGGGCTAGGCGGCGCTGAAGCCCCGGGGCCCGAGCAAGGAGGGGGCCCGTGATAGTCTGTGGAGTAGATTGACTGGAGCACCGATCGCCAAAGCCACCACGACCCCCATTTATTAGCGCTCTTATTTAGTTGAGCTTTTCCGTAAATGCCATGCATTACCATTTGAGATTGAAACGTAAAGTCTGAATTGGGTTTACCAATCAAATGCATTTATTCTATATTTGACTTTTGAAGATATGCGCAGGTATCTATCAGCTGCCCAGTATGTCTGCATTCGACTCGCTTCACTTTGCTCTGGAGGAATCTGGAAATGGTCGCGCAAAGAACAACATTCAATAAGTCAAAGTGTCAGCAATTCTAAAAGAGAGAGAAAAGAGAAAAACTTCAAATACAAACAACATAAAAAAACATGACAGCTATCAGGTTATTTGACTAAAGCTGATGATGGAGTGGAGGATGCTGGAACAGCACGTGAACCGGGCACACGGAGCAGATAAAAACAGTGTCATCGCCCACACCGATTTTAGGTTGGTTTGATTGTTAACTGGATTTATATTGTTTTTGTGTTTGCACAAACTATATTCATTTAAGGGTTGGGAGATAACCCGGTAGAAATATATCAATCGTTGATTGAAGCGCGTCATGATGTAGTCTAAGCTTATCATTTCAAGGCGTTTTAAGCAGGTTTTAAAACAAATGGTTTAAACTGTTCATGGACGTTACGCTGCGGGGCAGCACTCATTCTGGTAAATGCGTGCGTTAAAACGGTTTCTACCTGATACACACCTGCTCGTATTACAGACTAAACTTTCGCTCCTTGTGCCTAAACGCTCAAATACACATAGTTACGTGTCAAAATGCCCGTCTTTGCGAGTATCCTCGTAAACACACTTAAATGAATGTTAATAGTTAAAGATAAAGCATGTGTTAGGCTATATGAGATCCTATATAATCAGATATATGATGAGATCCTAAAAGAATATTCACCCAAAAATGAAGATACTGTCATCATATACTTACCCTCAAATTGTTCTGAACCTCTATGAATGTCCTTTTCCTCCTCAACATAAAAGAAGATATTTTGAAGAATGATCGTAACCAGTTTCTGGTCCCAACTGACTCCAATAGTGTTTTTTTTAGTGAGTAGTGAGGGCCCAGCAACTGTTTGGTTACCAATGTTGTTCCAAATATAATCTTTTGTGTTCAACAGCATGAAGGAGTCTCATACAGGTTTAGAACATCAACAGATTTTTCATTTTTGGGTGAACTATAACGCAGCCTAATATAGCTGCTGTTGCCATTTGTGTCATTAATGTAAACCAAACATCAGAAAGAAAATGACTTGCTGCCCTTGATTGAATCACTTTTGTAAAATAAATAAGAATGAATGTTTATTGAATTTATACAGTGAAGACTTTTCAGTCTATTTGCACATTTTCTTTATACAGTATATTTATTATTCAGTGCTTTGTTTTTCAAGTAGGCCGTTTTTTATGATCTTTGTTCTGTTGTGGCCTAATGTTTTTCAAGATGCACGTGTATATTTGTCTGATCTTTGATGGCGCTCAGCAGTGCAAAGTTGATTAAAATGTTGATTTAAGTAGCAAATGAGAATCGCTAAAATTAATGCATATATTGTGAGACAAACGTCTTTATGATTTTCAGTTTTGTTTAAGATAATTAAAACAACAGTTTTTAATTATCGAAAGAATATGTAAAAGTATGGTATTTGGGGTAAAAAGCGCCCCTGCTGTTGGGGCTAAAGGCGCACAGTAATTAACATGATAATTAATAGATGGCTGACTTTTCCATTTGTTGACATGACATTAGATTCAGATGGTAAATATCATATATTATGTTGGGTGTCCATATTAGAGATAATGTTTAGAATGAAACCATCATATTTAAAAACATGATATTAATCATATCATATAATAAAATATAATTTTTTGTTACTACTGTAAATATATATTCAATTATTATTGGATCTCCTTCAATACTTTCAGAATCTTTACTTATTAAAACGATTTATTTTTTATATGAACACATTTTAATGACAGCATATTTATTGGGGGGAAAAATAAATACTTTTATTTTTCAAAAAAAGCAGAAAATAGTACAAACTTTGCTAAAGTGATTATTTTGAACAAGTATTAACTTAGACATTATTTAAAAAAAACAACAACATTATTTTAGCTGAATTATTTGTATAAATACCGTGTGCCTTTTACCCCTCTTGCCACCTCATACATTTAAACGATTTTTAAACAATGCTTCTACTAAATACTGAGCAAAGGGTCTGAATACTTAGGACCATGTGATATTTCAGTTTTTCTTTTTTAATAAATCTGCAAAAATGTCAACAATTCTGTGTTTTTCTGTCAATATGGGGTGCTGTGTGTACATTAATGAGGAAAAAAAAATAACTTAAATGATTTTAGCAAATGGCTGCAATATTACAAAGAGTGAAAAATTTAAGGGGGTCTGAATACTTTCCGTACTCACTGTATATATATATATATATCATTATTGTGATGAGGCGGCCCTGCCTGCGCTATTTATGACTTTTTAGGTTTTGTGCTGCAGGGTCACAAATAATTTATGAAGACGGTTAAGTCCATATTCGCACATTCTACAATTCTGGTAACGTTACTTTTAATTAGCAAATAGCGTTGTACGATTCGTGAACAAATCTTTCTTGGAGTCGAATCTTTTTAGTGAGCCTGTTAACAAGCCAGAGGACCTTACGAGTCGAGCAATTATTAACTACTACTAACTACTAACTACTGCTACTAAAACTATAACTACTACTACTATAACAACTACTACTACTACTGTAACTACTACTGTAACTACTACTACTGTAACTACTACTACTACTATAACTACTACTACTACTACTACTACTGTAACTACTACTACTACTATTACTACTACTACTACTACTACTGTAACTACTACTACTGTAACTACTACTACTACTACTACTACTACTGTTACTACTACTACTACTACTGTAACTACTACTACTGTAACTACTACTACTACTACTACTACTAACTACTATTACTACTACTATAACTACAATAACTACTACTACTACTACTACTAACTACTACTACTAACTACTATTACTACTAACTACTACTACTAACTACTATTACTACTACTATAACTACAAATTCCAAATGTGCTGGAAATATGATTGAGTTCAGATAACAAATTAAACCTTTTCAATCAAATCAAACTTTTTTTTTGTTAGTGTTGTTGTTGGTAGTTAAAAAAAAACAATTTGCATTTAGGTATTGTGTTCATGAGGGCATTTTTATCCATTTAAAATGGTGTATTATCAGCATATTTTTAATGAATTCTTACAATGTTGTATTGTTTATATGATGCCAAATTCTAATAAATTCTAGGTAAGATTTTCAGTGGCTTTCTTTGCGCAATTGTTTAGTTAATTTCTGACTATGGTAACATTTACTCTCTCGTCAGGATCATGATAGTGTAACTCATCATTCAGCAATTAAATATGATTTTCTTAAAATTAATGATAGATCACAGAAGCATACCATCGATTAACATACTCAAACCTCTTTATACAGTACACTAAAATCAGTTTCTATGGTCCTCTGCTCTGTTTGCGCTCTATGCGTTTGTCATGGTGCTGTTACTTCATGTGGGCTGTAGAAGATGAATGCATGAGTCTGGCTCTGGACCGGCACTCTCTGCCAACAAACCCAAAATGTGCTGCAGTCAGTGTTAGTTAATGATGCCTCGAAGTATTTCACTAAATACAGCAGTGCAGTTGTAGTACATGATTCCTTCTGTTTTAACTCGGTCTTTAATCCAGTAGCTATATATAGTATATATTATTGTCCAGACAAATGTTCACCTCAGTCTGTTGTCTCTTATTCAGGTGGTGCTTTCCTCACTACTGTAGCCACAGCAGGTATGATTGCAGGGTTCGGTTGCACCCTTGCCGTGGCTAAGAAGAAGAGTCCTGAGTGGTTCAATAAGGTATCAAGCTTTTCTGCAATGCATTACTGACATTTAGTACTAACATGCATCAACTACACACTGAAAATCAACGGGTCTTCTTTTGGGGTTTCGTGAAAATAAGGATTTAAATGCCATATAAGTGAAGAAATTACAACAGCTGTTGTAAAATAATTTTGGTAACACTTTACTTAGTCTTTATGTATAATGCAATGGTTATTAAATGGTGTAATGCATTATAAGGTGCATTACAAGGCATAATTAATGCATTAAAACTACTTTTATAATGCATTGTACATAAAGGCATAATAAAAATATTATTATTATTATTAATAATAATGACTCACAGAATAAAAATAAACTTAATTTTTTTTTGTCAACTCAAGATTGTTCTAAAAAGTCTAAGTGAAAAGTGACGATCATAATGACGTGACAAAATAAATGCAAGAAAAATCTAATATTCTTCAACAGCAATATTAAATAATGCTACAAAAAATGTACATGTGAAATGGAAAGTGACCCTGTCCCAATTAAGTGGAGCAGAAATCACTTTCAATTGCAGTGTGAATGCAAAGAAAACAGATCTGAAACTTAGTTCAGAATGTGAGCAAATGGTTTTTTTTTCAGTCTCATTTAGTGTTATATTAGTCCTAGTCCTAAAGTATTTTGAAAATGTGCCATCATAGTGCTCCTCTGCTTACAGAAGTCGTTTTCTTCTTTCTCGGAAGTTGTTTTTGCTCTGGTTATTCATCTAATCAGTAGAGCATGGCAGGCTGATGTCTGCTAACTTCACAGAATTAGACATTGCGTAAATGCTGACATCGATTCCATTTTATGACTTGTTTTGAACATAAACTCAGAAATGAACAGAGGCCTCTTTGTTTTTTGTTTTTTTTTGCATTCCTATTTTAAGACCACTATCTCACATCAGTAAACACATGTCTTGCCAAAAATGCTTTTTAAGTGGCTAAATCCAATATGAGGTCAGTGACGCAGGTCTTGCCCGGTTCCTTTAATGACAAATCACTTGACTAGACCAGTTATGTCCTCTCAGGGCAGTGTCACTGTGGCACAGTATCAGCTTGTCCTGCAGAGTTTGTGATATGGACATGAATGATCTCTCAAAATGTGTAGCTTGTTGAGGATATGTGAGATATAATTTTTTCCCCAAAGTGATTAGACTTAGGCAGACATAATGACGTGACATTTAAATGCAAGAAAAATCTAATATTCTTCAACAGCAATATTAAATAATGCTACAAAAAATGTACATGTGAAATGGAAAGTGACCCTGTCCCAATTAAGTGGAGCAGAAATCACTTTCAATTGCAGTGTGAATGCAAAGAAAACAGATCTGAAACTTAGTTCAGAATGTGAGCAAATGGTTTTTTTTTCAGTCTCATTTAGTGTTATATTAGTCCTAGTCCTAAAGTATTTTGAAAATGTGCCATCATAGTGCTCCTCTGCTTACAGAAGTCGTTTTCTTCTTTCTCGGAAGTTGTTTTTGCTCTGGTTATTCATCTAATCAGTAGAGCATGGCAGGCTGATGTCTGCTAACTTCACAGAATTAGACATTGCGTAAATGCTGACATCGATTCCATTTTATGACTTGTTTTGAACATAAACTCAGAAATGAAGAGGTCTCTTTGTTTTTTGTTTTTTTTGCATTCCTATTTTAAGACCACTATCTCACATCAGTAAACACATGTCTTGCCAAAAATGCTTTTTAAGTGGCTAAATCCAATATGAGGTCAGTGACGCAGGTCTTGCCCGGTTCCTTTAATGACAAATCACTTGACTAGACCAGTTATGTCCTCTCAGGGCAGTGTCACTGTGGCACAGTATCAGCTTGTCCTGCAGAGTTTGTGATATGGACATGAATGATCTCTCAAAATGTGTAGCTTGTTGAGGATATGTGAGATATAATTTTTTCCCCAAAGTGATTAGACTTAGGCAGAAAGATTTTGCCAGGCAGACAGAAATCAAGTCATATATAGAGGTGCAGGAATATAATACAAATTTTTTATAATGTTTGTAAATGTTTTGCAATGTTTACCGGTATTTTACTTCATTTCAGAATATAATTAAATGCATACCTATGATACTTGTACACCAGTGCAAGTTTATCTGCTTGTTTGTTTTTTCCTCTGAAGAATCAGATTTTTTTTAACCTTTTATATTTTGGAGGGGGAATATTAAGTGTGGTTGCAGATGTTCAATGCTTTTTACTCCTGAAATCTGAGAAAAAAAATGGGGTTTTGTGAAGTCAAGATTAATCCAAAATTGACCCCATTTACTTTTTAATGCTGGTTTGGTTGTGAAAATTTAAACAGTGTCTGTTAATGCAGCAAATAAAAAAATGCATTATGATATACATTAATAGCTTGTAAGCGTAAACATACTGAACAAAATACTTTAGTACAATACGAGAACTGCAGTAAATGACCCTCTTTTTCTTTTGATGTGTTCAGGGTGTGATCGGAACTGCTGCGGTGCCAGAAAGCGGCGCGGCGTTAGCATTGCGGGCGTTGGGATGGGGTTCACTTTACGCCTGGTGTGGAGTTGGCCTCCTGAGCTTCACCGTTTGGAAGGCCCTGGGCATCCACAGCGTACGTACCTGCTTAAAGTGATGCTTTTAAATGCCATGTGCCCACTTGATCCATTTCTCACTATAATCTGCAACTGCTGTTTGATATATATAATTCCTCTATGGCAGCTGAAGGAATTTCGTCAGAAAATGCAGTCCATTTTTCCCGCCATCCCCAAAAATGAAGAGGCTCAAGAGAATTCTGCTCCATTTGACTGGAATTCCATCTTCGAGTCAAAATGAGAAGAATTTATAATCTATTATTAAAAACGGACAGCCTTAACTGACAGTCTGGGAAGAATATTTTTCAGCTTGGTCAAGTGTGAGCCAAAATCGGTCATTTTAGATCCAGCAACAAGTATCAAGTTTGTGGTCACAGCACTAGAGAATGCCTCATTGAAGGCCGAAAAGATTCAACTTGGTTGTCTGCCTTAACTTCTTGTGCCACACTGGAATTTACAAGGCCTGAGCCAAGAGACTTTGACAAGGGACTGAGGACAAAAACATGTGCCCTGCAGTGATTAAAGAAAAGCTGCAGAACGATGTTGTTAGTGTTTTCTGTGCATTGAGAGTAATCTGTAATCATGTAATCTGGTTAAAATGTATATGTGACAAGCAGCACAGAGCACTGGGTAGACAGGAAAATTTTTTTACCAATCATCCTTAACTTGCTTTTAAATAATACAATATTGAGGATATACATGGTTTGGTAACTTTTTTTGGCCACTCTGACAAAAAAATAACAACACTGAAAAACAACATTCACGGTGCTCGACCAAATTTCATGTACATTTACTTTTAACATGTGGAACATGTATAAAGACTTTATACTGAATAAACAATGGTCATCAAATCATATGGAGCAAAAAGAGCTTACATAAAGAGTTGTACATATTTTCTGTTAAAGTCATTTTGGGGTAACTTTCACATTGAATTACATTTATGCCATCGGACGTCTTTCAGTTAGCCTGTATTTTCCAAAATCTAAGGCCATTAGAGGGAGCCATTGCTATCTCTGTCACACAGAACTCCATTATAGGACACACAGGAAAGTCTCTGGGGGGCGTTCACACAGGACAAATGCTTGCATTAAAAACGAGAACTGAACAGGTGCGTTTATGCGTTCCCATATACAGTTGCTAATATACATGCTCGATCCACTGGAGATGCTTTTCCAGCACCCAAATTCACCTGACTGGTCCACTGTTGTAAAACCGACATGTTTTCTGCAGTGCAGCGTTTCAAAATATGCATTTCAACTTCAACGGCATCTTAGACCCCAAAAACAGCAAGGTGCATCACAATCACCGAATAATATCTGTTGTGCACGTATGACCAACAATTAAATAAAAATAGCGCAGATCAAATGCAAGAACCCACCCTGTGTGAATGGCCCCTTACACGTTTCAAGACTATCCTCACCTGAAAACAATGACTTAATATTTATTCGCAAAATGTCAATAGCATGTAGCATAAACTACTCACTTTGTATAATACCACATCTCTTGGAGGAAAAAAAAAATGTGAAAAGGGGCCCATTTAATGTACAGTTCCTATATACAAATCGACCCGTGGATATAGAATAGAGAAGAAGAGAAGAGGGGTAACCAAAGCACTTTGAGTTCGCCGTCAGAGAGAGGACCCTCTGTGGCTGCACTAATATGGAAGCGAGTCAGTTTGGAACCAACACTCGCTTGACCCTCAGATACTGGTGTGGTGAAACAGTGGTGGTCAGATCAGAACATTGCCTGTGGTCATTCACATTTCATTATCTCCCCTCTGAGCCAGCTAAATCTATTGCACAATGCTTTTTTTCAGAGCTGTATACATGTCTTAAAATCAGTGTTTTTTTGTTTTGTTTTGTTTTGTGTTTTTTTTGTTCTTTTATCGCAACACATTTCAAGAGAAATTCTATCTACAACATGTCTCACAATTTAAATAAATTTGCATTCCCCGAATAAACAAAGTCCCACAAGAAAATAAACGAAACACTGCATTAAAAACATTCTGAGAGCAAAATACTCTAAAAACTAACGGTATCAGATGCCAACTTTGGTTAAAACAAACGAAAGAAAATACATGGATGAAACAAAACGAAACAAAACAAAACAAAAAAAAAAGACCAAGTATTAAATATCCGTATTAAAATCATTTAAAAATCCAAAATGAAAACTGGGAAATGGGGCAGAGGAGCTATATATATTCTCTATATATTCATTTGTATGTAAAAACGATTGTGTTCTTTTCCTTAAATAAAAATATAACACCGACAGTTCTGTGTGATCTCTGTGGCTCAGCTCAGCCGTACTGTACGTTCCCATGATGGCACTCTAGGCTCCCGCTCCTTTGTGCCTGTCACGAGCGGCCGAGCTTAAACAGTACCTCACACAGGATGGCTGCCACGCCAGAGTTCAGCACAGAGGACAGCGAGATATCAAGAAGCCTGCTCTCGTAGAGCACGAACTCAGGTCTGTTCTCCTCCACCTGGGCCATGGCCAGCAGGGCTTTGACGGCCCGGCACATCATGTTGATGCTGGGCGGCTCGGGATGGGTGGGGTGTCCCATGTGCAAGAGACTGTGAGGGCTCTGCTGATACTGTGCCATGGAAATGCTGTCCTCTAGGAAGCTTATCAAGGCTCCCACGCTGCCCTTCTGCAGGGCAACGGCTCGGGCAGCTGTGGGGTCGCCCTGTGCAAGATTGGAGAGAATGGCTACGGCCATCTCGCGGCACACCTGACTCTTTCGCTCACCGACGTGCCGCACTAATGTGGCAAAGAGGCGCTCCTGTCTGCTAAAAGGAGGCGTGGCCAGCAGAAGGTCAACGTTAGAGTCTTGGATGCTCAGTTTGCACAGACACTCCAGCACCAGCCTCTGTGGTGTGAGCGAGGAGAAGCCATTTACTGTGCAAAAGGGGTCCTGGGCCTCCGCCGAAGGGCACACCATCCAGTGGAGTAGCCCGCCTAGAATTGGAAGGCAGATACTTTCCGGATAGATAGACAGGTCTAGCTGTCCTGAAATGTTGGCAAGGGTGACCAAGGTGTTCTCGCGCAAGGCACCAAGGCAGTCCCACCACCATTCGTCCTTGCTGCAAGCCAGACCTCGCTCTTCCTCTCGCTGGTAGGTCGGCAGCATCCTTTTCCTTTTAGGGTGCTCATGATGCAGAAGCACAAGTTTTCCGAGAATGAGCACTAAACCTGGGTGCTGAGCCAATTCACTGTCATTGGCCGGGACGAAGGAGAGTCCACGAATGATATTGGACACACAGATGCAGCGCTTGGCCAACTCATCCTGCCAGCTCTCGGCGACTGAAAGAGGTGCTTCATCCCAGCATCGGGGCTCATCCTCCAGCAAAGTAATGCTGCTCTGGTTCTCTCTGTTGCGGAAGGGGAATGATGTCTGGGTTTCACCTCCTGATAAGGACCCTGGACGAGAACTTAGCATGTCATCCACAGTGGCTGTCAAGTTCTCCTCTGAGGGCCCTGGAAGCTCTCTTTTCAGTTCCTCTTCCCTCCCATGCTCCTCTTCAACCGTTTCTTGTCCTGGTGCCTGTGAACCTTCCTGATACTCTAAGAGCTTCTGTTTTGCTTCTTCTTCCCTACGTTTCTTGAAATGGGTCTGGATGTGGGCAGTGGAGTCCCCTCCGCCTGCCTTCCAATGCAGAAGCCCGCTGGTGAACTCCCCGGCCAGGCCTAGCAGCTCTGATCGATCCTCCACACAATCAGCCACAGCCTCTCTCTCCTCAACTTTCACTGGGAGTTTGTCATACTTGCTGGCTTGCTTGGGTCTGGGCTCCACTGGAGGACATGGTTCTTTAGCAGTGTCGGCCTTACCCTCGGGAGAGTCTTCCCTTTTCTCCATATTGAGTGCTGCTGCTGAGCTGCTTGGCTGAGGTTTCTCAGGCTCCACATCTAATCTCCCCACATGTTCTGTACTGAATTGGCTTTTTAAGTCTTGATTGGAAGGTTGCTCTGTTTCTGTGGGCTCCGAACATGGACCAAGAAGAGTTTTCTGACCCTCTGTTCCAACTTCATATTCTTCAAGGATCCCAAAGATCTCTATTAAGCACCTTCTGAAATATTCCACAATGAGCTCCAAGAAACCGGGCATCTTGAAAAGGAAAAGACACAAAACCCAATACATTCATTATCAAAGTATATACACCTATCACTTCTTAGAAACTGCTATTTAATACGACCAAAAAAATGCAAAAGCAATAAGACTTTTACATTCATTTCCTAACCTCTGAACCCAAGCCTTACAGCCAATTAGTGCCTGATACACACTTACCTGAGACAGGCCAAAGGAAGACACTGTGTTGTCATCATAAAGCAAGATGTTTATAGTATCCAGGGCCCATGTGCTCTCAGCAAGCAAACCAGACTTCAGGGACATCATCACACGCCAAGCCTCTGGTGTGCCTTAAGATACATAAGCATGGTTATAACCTTGTCATAACCATACCATTCAAAAGTTATTACTGGAAGAGAGTTTCTTACCAATTTCTTTAGATGTTAACCTTCGGCGAGGTTTAAGCTGAGGCTGTGTAGCTTCCACAGAGTCCAGTGGATAAGTGACTTCCTGATGGATTGTCGGGAAGCCTTGCCCAGGAAGACCACTACTTTGAGAGCTTGGCATCGACCCTGGGCCACCCGGCTTTTGCATCTGTTTCATAGAGGCCATCATATGAGCCTTATTGGGTGACATAGAGCCACCCACAGACCGAGGGAATGGTGCAGGGCTTGGGACTCGAGAGATATGGTTTGGCATCGCTGGAGGAGATTGATAGGAAGAAGGTGGTTGCCGGCTAGCCATGGGGGGCATGGAGCTGGAAGAGGACAAAGAGTGTGGTGGGTAGGGGGATTGACGCTGACCAGGCCACTGACTGTCCTGACTAGCCCTAATTTCTGGATCATCTCCACGGCTCATGGAGGGGTAGGGGACCCCATGAGCCTGCCGGCTGGGGTAAGGGTAACTCATGTCATGCCTGGTGTGCCACATGTTCCCTTGAGGACCACCGCTGGAGTTGGAGGATGGGGGTGGTCCACCACTCATCATGCTGTGCTGAGGAGGTCCCTGCCCACCTGGCTGCATGCGATCACGTCCATATGGATAGGGGAATGGACTTTGCATGGGTCTGCGCTCTGGGTAACCATATTGGCTATACATGTCAGGCTGCTGGCCACCGTACTGCAAACCATAGGCTTCACTCTCATGGCGCTTAGCAGGAGGGCCATACATCCCTTCCCCAGGCCGCTTATAACCCTGTAAAAATAAATAAATAAAGTGTCTAATGTTAAAAATACAGCGGTAAACACCAATATTTACCACAATATTATCACAAAAGAGATGATATTTGATCACATTTGATGACTGACCTGCTGTTGGGGATACATCCCATGTGCGCCATATGGCATACTGTGAGTGTACTGCTGCCCATAGCCGTCATGTCCATGTCTATAGTAAAACAGAAATTACTATACTCTAGCTCCACACACCAAATACGTTCATATACACTAGTCAACTGCAATCACTTTATACCTCTGATGAGAGGCGTATCTATTGCCTGAGAACATGCTGGGATCACTATTGGAAGGCACCATGTTGTTCTGATTTCCAGGGGGAGCAATTCCCCCCTCTGGACCCATGACATGGTCTGGCCTGTGAACATAAACATTAAATAATGATGCAATGCTGATTTTGATTTCTGCGTTGTTTTTTTTCCAGTTCATGAACTGATGTTAAAGTGTTCCTACCTCTCAAAACCAGGGTTGTAGGGGTACTGGGGTCGTGGGCCCATACCCATCCCTGAGGGCGGTCCACGTGGATACATATCCTGCATGCCACTGCCTGGCATCTGCCCTGCCATGAAGGGCTCAGAGCCACCTGAAAACAAGTTAACACTTTAAACTGCACAGAAACAAAATATGCAGAACTAAAAACAACATGAAAGATTATTCACAAACATTGTAAAATATTTTATATTTCTTTGAAATATTCTTTGGGCATAACTTTTTTTATCCATTGGGTATTTTTTACATCATGAAAAGAAGTTGTTCCATATCAGAATGGAGCTAGACCTTTATCCCAGTTTGTAGTTGACTGCAGTGTTGTTATTGTCACCAAAACAAATGTATTTGTTGTAAACTGAAATAAAAATGAAATCTAACACAGATGGGAAAATGAAGCTGAACTACTGAACTATTTCCATGCCTTCATTACAAACTTTGAAAATTAATCTTTATTTGTAAAAAAAAAAAAAATGACGATACGTAAATTGTAATTTTGTCTGCTTTGCCCGTGAAATTAGTCATAGCCCACAGCTCAGCAGGGACATGCGTTTATCGCATGAATTAAAGACATGCAGTGTCTAAAATAAATGTGCACAGTTCAGCTGAATGATGGAAGTTTACTATGACTGTATACTTTGCACAATATTAACAAACTGTACACTGAAACAAAATAACCAGAACAACAATAACTGATAGAGCTTGTGGTTTATCTGTCAATCACATGCGCTCTCGGCCACTGATCTATGCTTGTGACGTTTTCTTTTATAATTATCATTGGCTGATAGAAATACCAAAAAAAAAAAAAAAAAAGTTATGAAAGTAGTTAACACTAGTGACTGACAGTGCATAATATAACAAGCATCATGATCTATTCGGTCGTGCACCGCTAAAAATTGTGGACAAGCCAGTTCCACCGTAAAATAACCTCTGAATCGTTTTTTTTAACTGATTCATTAAAACTATCTATCCGAATCAGGAAACTAATCCAACTTCTAATCACTTTTAGCGAGCATGAGGGAGGTGAATGGTAATATAAAAATATCAAATAAATAAAATCTTTTATTTCACAACTCTCGTAATTACGGCTTTTAGCGAGCATGAGGGAGGTGAATGGTGCTTCTCAAACGGAAGGGTGCATCCTAAAATTCAGATGATCAGACTCGTTCCCTCTCGAGCTTTCACGAGACATCATGGAGACATTTCTCCTTTATGGGAACTCCTTCCCTTCCAACCTTTCCTGAAGTCCTGTTGGCTCACGCCAGTCCAAATGACTTGCCAAATGTCGCGAAGTATGCAAATCGCATGCAATGCAACGCGACAATGCTCAGCTTCTCATGTCCCCCTTCCATGGAGGAGTGGAGAGCCGAGTGCAGATCCTGGAGCTAAGGGTTCTCATGTCGCTGCAGATGCCGCATGACCCACTGTCTAAAAATTGGGCAGCTCCCCGCCTGTTAGCGGCGTTCTGCCGTGTGCAAAGCACAATCACTGGCTCCTCACTCATTCACACGATACCAGCCCCTCATCAGCGGCTGCCGTGTTTGGAAGACACTGCTCTCTTATTCACACGAAACTAGCCCCTCATCAGCGGCTGCCGTGTTAGGAAGACACTCGGTAGAACGAGTCCCTCCAAGTGAGCTGGAGAGTGGGTTTTACAACCGCCATTTTATGGTGCCCAAGAGAGATACAGGATTCCACCCAATTCTAGATCTCAGGCCCATCAACAGAGCGCTCTGCAAGCGTGCATTCAGGATGATAAAACAGATCCTGGCGCGAATTCGCCCGGGGGTACTGGTTGCATCCGTGAATTTAAAGGACGCATTCACATACTTTCACATTCAGATAGCATCATTGACACTTTCTGAGATTTGCTTTCGAGGCACAGCGTACCAGTACTCTGTTCTCCCGTTTGGGCTGGCTTTGGCCCCGCGCACTTTCTCAAAGTGCATGAACGCAGCTCTCGCCCCCCTCAGATCGAGCGGGATGCGCGTTCTCAATTATTTGGATGACTGGCTGATCTTAGCTCTGTCACGGGACACACTATAGACAGCCATATAGACAAACTGTTTCGTCACTTGGAGTTCTTGGGGCTATGTGTGAATGTGCGTAAGAGCATTCTCGCCCCGAGTCAGTCTATAACGTATCTGAGAGTGTGCTTCAACTCGGTGGAGATGCGTGCTCGCCTCTCTCGGGAGCGCTCGGTGGCCATTTTTGTCTTCCCTGCACCATTTCAGACTGGGCAGCTCTGATCACTTGAAGTAATGTCAGAGGCTGCTGGGACTCATGGCAGCGGCAGCAGTATGTCATCTGGGTTTACTACACATGCGCTTATGGAGTTATGGCTGAACTCTCGAGCCCCTTGGACGGCGTGGACTTCGGACCGTTTGCGCATCGTGGTCTGCATCCGTGGCGCAAAGATCTCTTCAGCCGGGGGGTTCCCCTGGGCTTGATGACGTCACGTGTCGTGGTCACGACGGACGCGTCGACTCGCGGATGGGGAGCAGTGTGCGAGGGCATGCCGGCTTCAGGGCCGTGGGGCAGAAATGCTTTTGAGGAAGGGGATTCCTCAAGGGAAGTGGAGGCTGCATCCCAAGTTGATTCGGATGATTTGGACCCGCTACGGTAGAGCAGAGGTGGATCTGTTCGCCATGAGCGAGAATGCGCACTGCCCGCTGTTCTTCTCCTTGTCTCATTCTCGGCTGGAAGGGGACGCTCTGACATCGTACTGGCCAGCAGCCAGGCCGTATGCATTTCTCCGATCAAGATAATGCAGCTGGTGATATGCAAGATCAGGGAGGAGGAGGCTTTGGTGACACTCGTCGCCCCGAACTGGCCGAACCAGCCTTAGTTCCCGGACCTGACAAAGCTGCTGGTGGCACCACCCTGGCCGATCCCCATCAGGAAGGATCTGCCGTCTCAAACGAGCGGCTCGGTGTAGCACCCCAACCTGGAGTTATTGAGCCATCATGTGTGGCTGCTTCGGGGATATCAGAGGAGCTGACCGCCCTGCATTCTCGTGTGCTTGATACGCTCTCGGAGGCGCAGGTGCCCTCCACGAGACATTTCTATGCTCTAAAATGGGGAGTGTTTGTGGTGCCGTGATGTTCATATCGACTCGGCTGCTTGCTCCGTGTCGGATGTTCTGCGTTTTCTACAGTACAGGCTTGATAGTGGATGTCTACCATCAACACTGGCCGCTATTGCCTCGTTTCGTTCCCCGCTGGGCGGGCAATCGATCAGTAGTCATGCGCTGGTGGTGAGTGTTCTTAAGGGGGCGAGGAGATTGCATTTCCCACGTCCGCCTTCAGTTTCGTCCTGGGACCTAGAGGTGGTGTTAAGAGCTCTTTCACAACCACCATTC